TGACGATGCTAGGAAGGAGCGACACTGCCGAACAGTGTTGTTTTCAAATTATAAACATTTTTATAGACGTGAATATCGAGTAAATCTTTGAGAATCTACGCAATATATAAATTGATGTTATGACTTATGCATTATGGGCATTCAATTAAGTACCGATATTATTTTGACGGTATATTCAATTTCAATATACAAAGCTAGGAAGCAGCGAGACAGTGTTGTTTTGTCTTTTGAAATGTATGAACATTTCAGGCATGAATATTGAGAAAATCTTTGAGATTCTACGCAATATATAAATTGATTTTTTGCATTACGGGCATTCTATTAAGTGCCGACGGTATATTCATTATACAGAGCTAGGAAGCAGCGAGACCGTGTTTTCAAATGTATAAACATTTCAGACATAAATATTGAGAAAATCTTTGTTTACGTGTATAGCACAACGGTGCAAACTCGTGTTCAGTGCAACGAAAACTCTACCAGATCTTACGAGAATCTATCTGTATCAAAGCTTGTCAAAACTGCTATATAAACACTGCAATAACTGTGAAACTATTGAAATCTAAAGTTACATTATTGAATACATGCGAAAAGCTGAAAATGACTCATGAAACAACAACGTGACCTTCGAAATATATCAAAGGTCAATGAGACTTGTTATTGTGAACACGTCATAATTAGATTAAAATGCGGAAAGCGGATGCGGATTCACGGAACGGATATGGGGATAAAATGCGGATGAAATGCGTCGTTTTAATGAGTTTTTCGCCTCTTATTTACGTTTCTGTGTTTTAGATTTATGTTCCTTTTTTGTAATGGAATACAACGTCGTAGTGCTTATTATTTATAACATATCTTATACAGCTATTTTCTCAAGTTGTCACTGAGACAAAAGCCAAAGTGTACAATATGGGCGCTAAAAGGATGGTGGGAATAATCACAGATTTAAACAAGTCACCTAGGTTGCCGGCGACCCTATATAGTGTCGTTTTCAATTGGAAACTTTACAACATTATAACAGAAATTATGCCTTGTGACTAATATTATATGAGGAAATAAATAATATTACATAACTCTCGTCATTCTTTAATCTTAAAGTATTAGATTTAAACCAGATCTTAGCATTTTTACTGTTGTAACAGTCACGCGCGCTACTACTGTACGTCATATCGACATGTGATTAAAGCTATAAACCACGCTTGAAAAACTATTCAATTAATAAGTATGTCAATATAGCGTTCGTCTTTGAAACTCTGCACTATCCTTGGATCCCTAGTTCTAATTAACAGTCCTTACAACACGCCATATTGTAGAGACGCAGATTGGTGTACATGATTATTGGGAGGTGGGTGGGTTTTTTAAATTTCCACTTCTTTGCCAAGGTTTGGTCCCTTAAATCATTAGCCAAAAATTTTGCCAGAGATGTTAACGCACTGGCTAAAGTCTTGCGAATGAGCAGTGCACGTCAACACTGCGATCAAAAGTCCTTGCGCAAAGAGGGGGGCCATTGTACGTATCATAGAAATAATAGACATAGAATGCGTGCTAATGACGAATCATGTCTCCACTTTTTCAGGTGCATGCCCTTTTGAATGCGCCATTTTGAATTTTGGCCAGGAGTGCAAACTACAAAGTATAAACAAAGCTAAAACTACGTTTTCATCGTCAAAACGTTTTGTCTTGTTGTCTAATTTGTAGTTTGGGGATAGATTTTGAGTTCCTTGAAGGCACAAACTGTCAAAGCAAATGTGCAGTTACAAAACACTGTGAAAACAGTGAAAATCGTGCAGCCTTTTAAAAGCAAAGTAGTTTCGCGAAAATATAATTTACTCAAAACATTTTTGCATGCTCTAAACGTAACTGTTTTGCTAATATCTTATACGATTACAAAATGATAGTTCTTTCTTCGTCGGGTTTCGTTTTTCTGCAATGTAAACGAAGTGTTTTCATGTTCTTGAAACATTTTATAGTTGTCGATAAACTGTAAAATTGCCTAAAAATTATCGTCGAAAACCATGGTTTCAAAAGCGTTGCCTCAAGCTCAAGCAACGTAGAAAAATATGAAATATAATTGTGTAAGTTTAAAAAGATTATTGAACTCCATTTATATTGTAAAAGAGTTGAAATATTTGTAGAACATACCTATTGAGTTTGTCTTGATCTTTTGTGTTTTGTTTTGGCTTGCACAACAACATAACGTTGAAAATTTATTTTTAAACGACGATTTCTTCATATATTCTGTTCAGAACTATTGCTTTTCGTAAACAAACCCACTGGAATGGGTTTTTAGACACTTTTCCTTAGTTTACCAAAATTGTTTCCATTTTAAGTCCCGATATAAAATTTTTTGCAAACTTTTCAGTTGAAAAAATAATTCGCACTCCGTGCAACCGCGCGAAATTCCCTGCCTCAGGAGTCTGGGACCAACCAAAATGCCCTTTTCAATGCGCCATTTTGTGGAGACAAATTTTTTACTGAGAAAAGATAGGAGCACGCATTCTATGTCTATTATTTCTATGGTACGTATGCACGTGAAGGAAAAACCTTCAGGATACTTTCTGATTGGTTAATCCCAAGTTTGCATCAGTTGTTCACATGCTTAGCAGCCAAAGTTCGATATTTATCTGATATTTTGTAATATTAACAGGACTAGAAAACGATTCCCTTGTTCTGCCAAGGTACTTGGACCTTGTACGGATTAATTGTTGTGACGCAGATGCGTTGGCAGACTGGAAACACTCTCGGGCAGATAGAGCCTTCTAGAACATATTACACCATTAACCGCAATTTATAGCTTTGCTTAAATTGATTATCAAAAGTGGTTTCACGACAATCTTTCAACTTTTTGCGAAATAAATGATTTCCTTAAACGAAAAAATACGAAACGTTTTTGGTAATATGTTCAATGTTTTATTGACACTATGCTGGATGTGTGGACCCACTGAAATGACGAATACAAAATCAAATTGGCTGTCATTAACCGACGGTTTTTGTCATCCAGTGAGATTGTATTATTATTATTATTATTATTATTATTATTATTATTATGAACTATATTTCAACACGGTACAATTTCACCTATACTAAAATTAATTATGTACAAGATATAAAAAGAAAAAAAGGTGATCTTCCAACCTTATGTGCTTCTTTTTAATTTTTAGTCAATATCAGACTGTTGAGACTTTTCAAGACATGGGTGACTGTGGTGGAGATTGCGGCGAATGTGGTGATTGCAATTGCGGAGACTGCAATTGTGGAGACTGCAATTGTGGAGACTGCAATTGTGGAGACTGCAATTGTGGAGACTGCAATTGTGGAGACTGCAATTGTGGAGACTGCAATTGTGGAGACTGCAATTGTGGAGATTGCAATTGCGGAGAATGTTTGAAATCTATTGATTGTTGTGGATTACAGTGTGCCCCATGTGACTTGAATATTGGGTCGTGTGATTGTCTTAAATCATGTGATTGTTGCAAGTCATGCGATTGTTGTGGGCTAGAGTGCGACTGTAGTTGTTTCAAGTCTTGCGACATACTTGGTCTATGTGGCTGCAAAGGCGACGATGGAACATGCAACTGCTGCGCTGGTCCTCCTGATGAAGATCGTCACGAAAGTTTTTTCTGTTTCTGCTGCGAGGTAATATTTCTAAAAATGTTAGCTTTGCGGGAATGTTAACACATGCTGGAAATACAGGAGAGAAATATAAACCGGTAGAAATATAAACCGCGATAGAAATGTACATGTTATGGATCACAGCATGCATTATGTGAGTCCATCTGCCGTTGAACTCTCCGACCAGGATTCCGATGAAATCTATACGAGTCGCGTTTTTTATTTTGTTTATTGAAAAATACCTATCCTGGCGAATAGCGCTATCCGGTCTTCGTATACCTGCCCTGGTGCATGTTAATGTCGTTTTATTGTTTTAATTTTTAAATAACATATATTAATTTAGGAATAGAAACATTTTATCCAACGAGTTTTAACAATACATTTTGAACTAGCCAACGTGAACAGATTATAAATTGCTGCAGTAAACTATCGATACTTTTTTGGATAGGTAATTCCACAGCAAGGAGTGCAATAGACTTTAGAATTGCCTACGTCACGTACAGGGGGCTTCTTTCAACACAGGGGGCTTCTGGAATGCACAATGCATTGTGGGATACTTGTTATGTGTTCAAGCGTGGAAATCTCACACTCCCTGTGTCATAACTCTTTGATAAAACACAATAAATCTAACAAAGTGAAGGTCTTGAAAGACAATTTTTAAGTGGTAAAATATACACAAAGAGGATTATAAGATCCTGTGAACATTAAAATGCTAAAATCCTGTGAACATTAAAGCACTTCGTCAGAAGGTATATGCAGCAAACGCCGCCACTCAATAGACGCGAACATAAGTATGATATAAACATGTATGAAGGGATAATACGCCTTACGCCTTGGGGAATATATTAAACAAACTATTAGCCGTGAACCCTTCCTCAAGGAGCAATAACCATTAACCTCGGCAGTTCAAAATTGACGACAACGAAATTTTAGTCCGGAATTAAAATGAATTGTATATTTTCGTTTTATCTGTCTTCATTGTGTCGTGTGATTTGTTGCGACACTAATTTTGCACTGGCTGTTTCTCTCCCGGTGCAAATCCAACTCTGTATCAGGCATTAGGCGGTTACCACCGGTAGAACTGAACAAGAATGCAGTGTTTGACCGGATTTTTCCTCAGTGACATTATGCACGCATTTGTTTACCCAGATGACTAATTAAGTGACGTTTTGTACCATATTTAATTTTGCATATCATTACGAGTGTTAAGAATAGTGAATTGTAGACTCGTTTGAATTTACAAAGCAAGCCGCCATTTTGATTTCTCAAATAATTGCACTCCTGTTAACCAATCACATTGCAGTAATTTTGAAAGCCGCCATTTGTCATATATGCATGTCTCTCGTATTGTTAGGTATTCGACGTTTGCTGCTTTGCAACGAGTACAGCACCAACTCCTCGTACGAGCATGCCTCCAGAACATCAAGTCATGTATCGAGGGGAAATTGGGATGGTAAAGAAACAATGTCCAGAAAATGACACGACGATGGACCTAGATATTATAAATGTAGACCCTGATCCTCCACCACAACCAACCGAGATGACATCGCAAGTTTAACGTGCTATCTACATGATACAGCTTTGCCTGAGGCCGGTTGTGCGAGTGTCAGATAGCGCTAGTTTCTACTTTTCTAAGATTTTCCGTTCATTTGTATAAAATTTAGTATTTATAAACGAAAGTTTCTTCTCATTAATTGTCGTGAGGTTCAACTTCGCAGTTTTATAGCCTTTCAAGCATTTTGCAACGGTTAAAAAGGATAGTGCTTCGTACAACCGGTCATGATGGAGGCGGGGTAGTCTGCGTTGCAGGCGTTTATTCGCTTGCTGGCGGCGAGGGCGTGTGGAAAAAACAAACGCCTGCCATAATGACATTGTGAAAAGCGTTTTTGGCCCTTTTACAGTGAAAGAACTTCGCACGTTATCCAATCATCGTCAAGATTTATTATTAGCATCATGTATGTTCTTTCGAGGCAAATTACAATTGCTTTCTTTCCATATCCCGTTGGAAGTATCACGAGACCGTCTTCACCACGCAGTGAATTGACTTTTTTTGTTCTGATTTTAACTGAATTTTGAGACCTAACCTTTTCTCGCCGTCCTCGCGCTCGCTAGCAAATAAACGCCTGCTAGAGGCCGAGTCGATCAGTTGAGGTAATAATAATAATAATAATAATAAAACTTTATTTAATGAGGGATTACACTGATTACTTAATATAGTATTCTTCCCAATGGCCCTCGATATCTAATAGTAATATATAAAAAGAAAATCCTATTGAGAGTAACATTGACAATGAGTAATATGCTTACAATCGATGCAGCGGAATTTATTAACGTGATCTACTTCATAATTCAATTGAATAAAGTAGGTTTTGAGCTTCTTTTTATAGGAATAAATTGAATGATTTTCAATATCTTTTAATTCGGAAGGTAAAGAATTAAATAAACTTGCACCACTGAAGGAAATTTTGGATTTTGCTTGCGTAGTCTTAATTGATGGAACTTTTAAGTCTGTAATAGACGATCTAGTTGGAATTGGATGAGAGTCGCGAACAAAGACAAACAATTTACGAAGATCCGGCGGCCAAGATGTTTTTAAGGTGGCTCCCTAGGGTTTTATTTCCGGGGGTTACGTTCTTCGTATATATGTAAACTAAAACTTGTGTGACTTCAAAATACGAACAAACGTTGTGTTTTATATGGAACTCTTTTTTGAAACAAAAGTGTGAACTTTGCTTTAGTTGAAAGCATAAAAGAGTTCTAAAGGCCAATACGATACTTGGATGTGATGTTTCAAAAGAAGATAATGTAAATTTTTTTTAAGCGGCATTCTGGATGTTTTTTGAACCGCCGTACGCGAGGTTCGTTTCGCGAACATTGGGATATGATATAAAGTTTCCTCAAGAATTTGCAGTATTTTCTCCACAATCTAGCAGCACTTATGACAAAAAAAAATTACTTAAGTAATGAGCCCTCTACGGGTGAAATGAGCAGGGCCGAAACTCCAAACATACCGCTATAAAAACTGAAATTTGAACGGGCATTTTGCGAAAACATCCGACGATAGTACTAACTCGCACGGGACGAATTTTGACAAACATTTTTCAAATTAATACCAAGAAGTCATAACCAGTAATTACCTAAATATCTTTGCCAATTTTACATGTATAATCCACGCTTAGTTGACCATTAACCGACACAGTTATAAACAGTATATCGAACATAATTTATATTTTGTGATTTCAAAAAAGTCATGCTTTGTTGTTTGATGCAGAATGCATGTACACGTCAGTTGGGGTATTAAATTGTTCGCGTAAAAATCTAGTAAAAATTGCCAAAATTAAACCCAAATTTCTCCTTTTTCCTTCGGTAAAATTTTTTAAAACTTTGCACATTTTTTAATATCGGTACAACAACAATCTTTTTTTCTTAAAATTAAATCGAAGGGAAAATTATTAATATTGATTTTTGACGTTATTTAAATTTTCTAAGAAATGTATCGATTTAATTTTTTTAAATTGAGGGAAAAAAATCATTATACAAGTATTATCTTTTATGCAAAGTTTTAAAAAATTTTACCGAAGGAACTTTTTAAAATGACCTGAAAAAGACAAATTTTGAGCTTTATTCTAAGCATGCTGTTGCCATGACAACATATTTTTAACACAAAAGTAGCAATTTGCAATGTTCAGGAGAACATTGTCAATGTGTCTAATAAATTTCGTTTTCATGTCATGTAAAGTAAAGAAACAGGAGTCTCCTGAATACTATAGTGTAGTAAATTAAAAAACCCTAGGGAGCCACCTTAAATTGGCTTAAATTATATAAGCGCGTCGCTGAATGGCTATGTGCTAACATACGGTAACATTACGGTACGGTACGGTCACGTTTGCGATAGCAATATATCTGCTTCGCAGATACAAAAAACGACTCATCTTATATTAGTTCATTGGCGAAGTAATTTTTAAAATAAACTTTGTCTAAACCGAGAAAATCAAAGCTAATATGCTAATTTCGTTATAATAATTATTATTATTATTATTAATCCAACATCCTGTTGGGCCGCCAAGAATCCTGACTATCCCGCGTGCAATTACACAGTACAGACCGGCCTTCATCACGGGCTTAAAACTGTAAGGAGCCTCTTTAAGAATACGTTTTTGACTCATGTCCCAAATTTTTGACTCGTGTTCGTCATTATTGACTCGTGTTCACTCGTGTTCGTCATTTTTGACTCGTGTTCACTCGTGTTCGTCAGTTTTTGACTCGTGTTCGTCATTATTGACTCGTGTTCACTCGTGTTCGTCATTATTGACTCGTGTTCACTCGTGTTCGTCATTTTTGACTCGTGTTCACTCGTGTTCATCAGTTTTTGACTCGTGTTCACAAATTTTTGACTCGTGTTCACTCGTGTTGTCTCGTGTTCACTCGTGTTCTGACTCGTGCTCACTCGTGTTGTCTCGTGTTCACTCGTGTTCTGACTCGTGTGGTCTTTTAGAATAGATCAATTCAGATAGCGTGGCCTTTCAAACATATTAAAACGCCTGATAATTGATAAGGGGTCACGTCCATATTCATGTTGCCACGCATAACGTCGAATCGACGTTACTGTAACACTCAAACCCACCCACCTACCCTAAATAACGTCGAGCGTGGCAGTCACATTCTTCAAAACTTTCACAAAATTGTCATTTTGCCTCGAGATTATCGAGATAACGTCGAGAGAATTAAGATAAACCCACCCACCCACTCATAACGTCGATTCGACGTTATGCGTGGCAATATGAATATGGACGTGACCCCTAAATAAATAGACAGATTTAGATCGAGGACGCGGACGTCAAAGACGACGTGAAAATGGCGTGTTGTGCCCATGTATGGATATGCCACGCCATTTTGACGCCATTTTCACGTCGTCTTTGACGTCCGCGTCCTCGATCTAAATCTGTCTAATATCAGTGCGAGCACAACGGCAGCAAAATAATAACAAATAACAGAATATAAGCTAAATTAAAAACAGCAAAGCTTTACCTACCTCGATCTATTTTTCTAAGGCGCTAAATTACGTAAATTTTCGACGAAAGCCGTGAACAAAAGAGTCTCCCTCGCAGAATACCCGCGAACAGGCTGCGAGGGATACTATGAACAAAAGCGTGTATATTTATTGTTTCAACTTTCACATCATGAAAATGCTCGTCGGAAAAACTCGGACCAACTCGGTATTTGCCGTATTTTACTAATCTATCACGTGATTTACCACCGCCGGTACATCGCACAACACGACACGAAATTTAGAGCTATATGAAAGTTGCATGCCCGTATATGGGCATGCAACAAAAATGTCCGTGACATACATCTAAACAGGTGAAAAAAGCTGTCATTGAAATATAAATATTTTAGCCCTACGAACAATTGTTGAATAAGACATATACTTGAACATGGTATATAACTTGAATTATTTGACAGTTTTGTTCATTAACACTTGGATGCCGATGACACAATAATATCGTCAGAGCTATTAAAAGATGAGTAGAAAAATCTGTAAATGTATACGCCAATTTTGGAAATATAAATGAGCAAAAGTTCGAAACACACCGTTTTAATTTAAGTATAAACCTGTTTCGTCCAAATTTGTGTACTCTGAACAATTACTAGTCTATGTAAACAAATGTACGCCATTTGTACGCCAAAGTTTGTGTTTGTACAACGGACAAGTCCAGCGTGCACACTTTACATTCCAGTCTCAGACAAGATGGTTGGGCATATAAATCATTAAATACTCACGAAATTTCTTATGAATTGCCGATAAAGCTGCATGACTATTCGTGCGCGCGGAAAAATTAACCAATAAAAAACCCAAAAAGACGTCGCGAATTGCTCTCTCTATCCAGCTTTATTTCATCTGTTGGCGAACGCCATACATGAAGATCTTGTCTGAAAGTACACACGAGTGACCACGAGTGACCACGAGTGACCACGAGTGACCACAAGTAATTTCTGTGTTTAAAAATCATGAAATAATAATAAAAACTATTTTAAGGTGGCTCCCTAAGGTTTTTGCATTATACTGCACTAGGTCTTGTCTAAAAGTACACATGAGTGACCACGAGTGACCACGAGTGACCACGAACGATCACGAGTGACCACGAATGACCACGAGTGACCACGAGTGATTCTGTGTTCAAAAGTCATAAAATAATAATAAAAAACTATTTTAAGGTGGCTCCATAGGGTTTTTGCATTATACTACACTTTTGTATCCAAAAAACGCCTGTTTCTTCACTTTATATGACACGAAGACGAAATTTATTGGACACATTGACAATGCTCTCCTGAAGATTGCAATTTACTACTTTTGCGCTGAAAGTCCGTTACCATGGTGACAGCGCGCTTAGGATAATGAAGTTCAAAATTTGTTTTTTCCGGCCGTTTTAAACATTTGCATAAAAGATCTTTCTCGTATAATGATTTTTTTCTTCAATTTTAAAAAATTCTATGGAACGTTATTTAGATTATACCCTGCAATAAAATTTTAAGAAAAAAGGATATTGAGCTTGTTTAGCCGATATTAAGAAATGTGCAAAGTTTTAAAACAATTTACCGAAGGAAAAGGGTGAAATTTAGGTTTAATTTTGGCATTTTTTGGCGAGATGTGACGTGTAACCCCCACCCCCCAACTGTGAAACTCAGACAAAAATCCGGTAAAATTCCAGTTAAAATTTTGATATTTTCAGGTAAAATTTGCGTGATAAAGAAATTATTTGTGTGAAATGATAACCATATTTGTAAAATATACAGTCAATTTACATCCAATTTGTTTGCGAATTTGCTTTAGAAAACGCCAGAATTGCAGTCCTAGAGCTTCAAAAATGGAACAATTTTCTGGGGGAGGGAAGACCCCCAAACCCCCGTTTTCTCCCGAAACTTAGTATGACAGTGCAAGTCAATCACAAGAAGCTTTATTATAATTATTACACTTTAGGTAAATATTTATTAAAAATTCAAATTTCAGGTAAAATCCTCCGGCAAAAATCCCCCCCCCCCGCGCCCAACTTCAGATGCTTTGCTATGTTCCTGTAGACTGACGTGTACAATAGTCGAAAAACTAAAAAAAATTTCCCGAAGGGATTTTTAAAATGGCCGAAAAAAAAAACAAATTTTGAGCCTTATCCTAAGCACGCTGTTGCCATGGTAACGAACTTTCAGCACAAAAGTAGCACATTGCAATGTTCAGGAGAGCATTGTGAATGTGTCCAATAAATTTTGTCTTCATGTTATTTAAAGTGAAGAAACAGGCGTTTTCTGGATACTATAGTGCAGTATAATGCAAAAACCTTAGGGAGCCACCTTAAAATAGTTTTTATTATTATTTCATGATTTTTAAACACAGAATTACTTGTGGTCACTCGTGGTCACTCGTGCTCACTCGTGTGTACTTTAGACAAGATCATGCATGAATAACTTTAAGAAAACAAAGTGCCATATGCATATTTCAATATTACGCTTGATTGACATATATATGTTCAAATTTTGCACATTGTATAACAAAACATAAAATGCTACAATGCCAATATAAAATTATGTATTGCCAACGAAATTTTTCCTTTCTTAAAGAAAATGCCTTTAG